GCTGCGCTCTGCACAAACAGGAGTGTTTGTGATTATCACTCTGCCCGACAAATCAATCAATATCCCTGTAAATAACAGTCCTCCACTTTCTTCATAATACTGTGGAAAACTGTTTTGATGATCCTTTAGAAAGATAAATTAATTGATGTTGTCTATTAAGCTTTGTGTTTCATTTTTATGTTCAGTTTAGATTTAGGGAAACAAAAAAATATATGCAAGAACAATGTTGCTCCTTAAAAACCATAACTGTGAAAATTTACTAAATTAAAAAAATAATGCAGTGGCATGGATAGCAAATAAATTGGTGGGAAGGCAGTACCTGCTATCACAATTTTTCTTCTATCAACGATAGTGTATAAACTTCAGCATTAAGGCTAACTTAAACAAAACTTAAATATGCAGAATCAGAATATCAATTGCTGGCAAATTTAATTATAAAAGTATTATGATACTACTATTACAAACTGCACCAAAAGCCACACGCACAAAGATGGTTCATTTCTTTCTGCACCTGAAATAATTTTATATTTTTACAGATAGAGTAGATGTTCTAGACTCTAATGTAATATTCCCAAAGGACCAGATTACTAGTCTGAGGACCCTGCTGCACTCAGCATTATTTTGAAGGCCCAGGCTGCAATTATGGCTTTTTATCAAAGATAAATGAGCTAAATCTAGTAGTGGAAGATAATGAGGCTTGGTCAGCAACACTTCCAGCTCTTTATTCAATGATCATTGGGTGCCTGCTTCCCAAGAAAAAGGGACCCCGAACAATAGGAAGCAAAGATTCTTTTACACGTTGGGGTTGAAAGACAGGAAATCTGAGGGATCTGATTTCCAGGCAAGTTTCTGAGGAAGTGAGATAGGTGTTAAACAGGGGGAAAGTCGTAAAACAAAAGTCGCATCTCTATGACAGACAGCGAGCCAAGGATTCTATTGCTAACGAGGACTGGAATTTTGAGATAATCGGATACCCATGCTTGATTAGGTGGAATGCCTGCTGTCTCTCACCTTGTTTTAACAAAGCGTCCTCACTGAACCTTTAGGCGGACAGGTGAGAGCTTTCTCATTGTCTTTGTTATGACAGTGTTAGGAGGAGTTCAGAAAGAAATTATATACACCCCCCCCAACTTGGATAATTAAGTTTTATAGTGAATAGATATAAATTAATAAACATTTATAAAGATGTTTATAATAAAATGTTCCTAGTATAGAAAAGCTAATAAGATTAAATGTATTATCATGATTCAAGCAATGTTATCCTGTTACTAATAAAACTGCAAAAAAAAAGAAAAGAAGAGGTTACTATTATTCACAGTATTATAAGAAAACTCCATTTGACTTTAGCCAAAAAGCAATGCTAAAAGGAAACAGTTTAAAACACTATTAAAAAAATCACAATTATATATTGCATTATTTGGATTCTTAGATTTTCCCTCTAAAACATGCCAAATAATATGTCATTGACAAATCATTTAAAAATCCAAATTGGGTCAATTAATTCAGCAACTATTTTTGGACTACTCAGAACTGTCCAAATGTTAATCAGAAACATATTTTAAAAAGTAGTTGCCAAACAGGTTACACCCAAAATCTAAACTAGCATTTCTATTTTAAGGAATGCATTCATATCTAAATACATGTGTCTTAAGGGGAAGATATTCTATTTCAAATTTGGACAATGATTGAGCAAATATTTATTTATTTTATTTATTTAGCAAATTTATATAGCCTATAAATAGGACAGGGCATATAGTTTGTAATTGTACAAACATATTGAGATAAATCCCATACAAATTTTCACATTTTTTAATTTCTATATAAAAACAATATTTTAGAACACTGCACCATTATAGTTTGTATTTTATTATATAACACATAAATAAAATATAAGTTAGGTATACAGATTTGCTTTCTTCCAATACACAACCATCCAGCAGAGGGAGCAGGATGTTTAAAAAAATTCTACTGGAATGTAGTAAGAAGAAACTGGTATTAAATCATTTAGCACCAGTTAAGTATTATGTTGAATTGTTCTCTGAAAACTCAAAACAGTTATTGGAAACATTTCACTAATTAGACAAAAAAAGCACCTACAGTTCAAGTAAGTATTCCTATATTTCTGAGGCTAAATGCAGTAAATTAAGTATTAACACATGAAATATACATTAAGAATAGATCAACTGTTAAATATTTCAGAATTTGGCAATTTGTTTAATGTAAATATTAACTTAATTCAAGGTTCAGAAGTAATTGTTGCTGTCTTACTGCAAACAAAGCAAAATAACAGCAAGTATTATTAAGTTCTGATCCCCAGGGCAGATGTTTCTATTGGAATTGAATGGCTATTGATATGTGCAAATGAAGGAGGAATTTTAACGACATTAAAGTTACAAAGAGTAGGACGGTACAGAATATGTATCTATATATTTACTTAGGGATGTATCTGTATCTATCCATTCATCAGGGTCAGAGCAAGCTAGTAAGTATATAAGGGTAGTATAATTCCCTCTAAGTTGAAAAAATTGTTTTAGGTGCTCTCCTACTTTGAACATTATGTTTTGTCGTATTTACCTGCAAATCGATCTCAGCTTCATAGAACGTTAGGCAAGAACAATAGTGTCGTTCAGAGTTTATATCTGTCAAAACCACCACAAAAAATGTAGGTTGTTTCCTTTCTCTGGATAAATGCCATCCTCCAGGTTGACAAAACTAAGAAAAAAGCAAGCACAGAGAGAGTTTAATTCAAAGATATACTGTATTAGAGAACAAGAATAAGACTTATTTTATAAAATAATACTTAATTATAATTGACAGCATAGCATATTATTTGATAATGTCAAAGTCAGTATTGTGGGGATCTAAAATCAATTCAGGAATATAAGAAATCCAGCCTGCTTACAGCAGGAATGACAAAATACAGCACTGCAGATGTTCTACTAATTCTCAAAAGAATCTTATATTTTTCTTTTGGTTTTGTACCAGACTCCCATCAATATTTCAGTTTAATTACTAATGTCATCTAAAAAGACACAAACACTGTAATTCATGTTATACACTAACTTATTAAAATATGTACAGAGTTGGCTCTTTCAATGTTGTATTCTGATACACAGCTATGGGTCCGGAAGCATTCAAACACGGGTTTATTTAGGACAAGGGTCTATGCAGACTAACCTAGATAACATGACACTTGCATAACAAGATATAATTTGATTTCCCACAAAATGACCCTAAGAACTGGTGTTGCATTTATAACATTCAGTTAAGCTAGCAAATATTTTAAGCACTCTTTTTCTTTAAAAAAAATAGCCAAAGCTTATCTCTTCCATAAATCTTTAGAAGACCCTCTAATAAGAACGTCTATTAGTGTTCAGTGTACATCAAATATTTATGATCTCTATTTCCTAATGTATAGTTTTAAAAAAATTAAATAAAGTCTGGATCAAAATATTTTAACAGAAAATATTCTGTTCTGTCAGAAATAAACTGTTCTGTCCAGGAATACAGTTCTTAATAAATGTAAGAAACCTAATAAAGCCAATGAACGATTTCAGATTCTTTTTCTGAATTTTTCATCAATTCAGAAGTATTTCACACAATATGTTTCTTTCTCCAAGCAAATGGCAACTGTTTTTTTTATCACTTATGCACTGGCTTGAGCAGGAGGAGCACCTGACCAACTTTATCTGAGTTCAGAAGCTAAGCAAGGCCAGGCCTGGTTAGTATACAACCAGGAGACTACCAGATCTGTAGCTTAGACTGAATATCACACCGGAAGAAACAAAGACAAATTAGTTTTGTACTTTTGCAAGGAAAACTGCATGGATATGTCCATGAAAATACCAGCTTAGCTTGATGGAGACTTGATCTTACCCTAAATACAAATCCTAATAATAGTGGTACTTTTTGAATGATATCTGTGACCACCCCATTCACAGTTGCATTGTCCACAGAAATCAAGATTATTTATGTTATGGAACACAATAGAAAAGCATATTTTCTGAATAATGTAATAAACAAAAAGAATATTGTGTGTTGTGTGTGAAAATATTGTATTAGCTGGCTCTCAGTTTACTAGACAAGCGACATGAATGACATATTCAATGATATACTATAGATCACATTAGGTATTTAGATATTTCTACTAAGTATCAGATGCATAACACTATTATAAGCAATAGAATAAGGAAGTCATATGCTCTTTCAAGAGAAAGAAAGAAATGCTGTTTAAAAATATATACTGTCTTATTTATACATATATAAAAAAGCTTTTATACATATATAAAAAAGCTATAAATGTGACAGTATATATTTTTTATAGCACAGCATTTTCAGTGCACAGATTTTAATGAAAATGAAAATGAAAATTGCTCCCTGCAGCAAACAAAACCAAGCAGTTCAAATACAAAACCATACAATATTTATTAATTAATTTATTGTACTTTTATGCAGCTTCATTCAGGCAAATCGTAGTGGCTTACAATAAAATGTATAACATATGACAAAGTAAATAATACAATCTATAGAGTAATAAACATTCATTCTAATTAATTCATAAAATCATAATGAATAACAGCACTATACATATTCTAACCATCTAATTATGTCCGTGCTGGCTTGAATAACTAAGTTTTTAATATCTTTCTAAATATTAATAGTGAGGATACATTTCTGATTTCTAAGGGTAGCTGGCTCCATAGGAGGGAAGTTTCAGCAGAAAATACTTGTCTCCAAGTCACCTTCCATTGTACCTCACAGACTCTTGAGAAATGCTTTCTACCAGCATACGCTTGGTGGGCAGATTCTACTTGAAGCAGTTTCACTGATATCCAGATCCTAACTCATGTAGGCTTTTATAGGTTATTATCAGCACCTTGAATTGTGAATTATGGCAGCTCAAATGCATAATGTCAAATTCTGATAGAAGTAGATGCAGTACATAAAGTGTTGCTATTAAACATAATGTCATGCTGATAAACTAGAACTATATCTTATGTAAACACAACTAATCAATTGATTATAGGTTGCTTAGCCCACAGCTAAAATGCAGTATATGAATATCAGTGTTGTTTCACAAACTAATCAGACAACGCAGTTATTTGACTGAGGATATCAGAAACACCATCCAATACATACCAAAATCTCTACAGCCCTTATAGAATTGAGAGACAAATGAAGAATGATAGAAAAATAAAAAATAAAATAAAATAAAATAAAGACACTCTCGACCCGAACTCAGATTCTGGTGACTACAGGACACAGTAGAGCTTTCAACCCAGGATATTAAGCTAGTGTCCCTCCCTATCCATTACACTAATATAGATCCTCCAAGATTTTCTTGGAAGCTTTCACTTATATTTGAATTTGAATGTAGTAGATGACAAAGTAATCATTTACAGTGCTCTGTTTAGATTTTCAATATGCTGGAAATACAACACACTGAATATGGTTTCTGCGAAGTTTCCTGCATAGTTTCAATGATTTCTGGCAACATCAGTATTAATATCAGAGCAAAAGCAGCTAACTGGACTGAGTGGGGCAGTGAATTACATATTGGAATTTCAAGCCTTTTTTTATTCTAATTTTAAAGCACCTGTTTCATAAAATCTGTTCCTTATTTTAAAAAATAGAAACTCCTGAAGGAGACTCAATGGGACCCTGGTCTCCAACTGCTGCAGCCTGAACAGTTTTCTGGATAGTAAAATAACCCTTTAGCGGTGTGCTGTTAAATTTTCAGGAATTTTGCAAGCTGGTTGAAAGCAGAACTGAGCCCCTAGTGCGACAATCAGCTGTTCTGCAGCTAGCAGCATGGTGGCAGAAATGGAGTCAGGAAACCCAGTTCTTAATCCTTTACTAGCACACCACTGCCTCTACACCAAATAATGGAAGGAGGCTGAGTCTCAGTGTTTTATTAGCATTACTTGAAGTCTTTCTGTGAATAGCATCCTGCCAACGGCAATTTCCTAGAAACTTTGCAGAGCAAAATACATGAAAGAGTAGAGAACAGTGCTATGAGTGCTATGAATGCTATGAATGGAATGCATTAAATCCAGTATCAAATCCAACATCAAATATGTTCTGAGTACTAAGGTCAACAGTACCAGAGATGAAACTTTATGAAACAGTTGAAACAAAGTCAAATGCATCTTCTCAACAGCAGTTGTGGATAATAATAATAAAGTCAACTCTACACAGATGCCAAACAAATGCCAAAGCTGGGAAAGAGATGTCTAAGTAGGTGGGAATGGAATCAAATGAAATGTCAGCAATCAGAAACTTTAGTAAGAAACTTGCCCTTGAAATGGGCAAGGTTATGTTGTGAGCAAAATAGCAAGGCTGTTATAACAAAGATTTGTCCTTGATGTCAGTTTCTTGTATGCAAAACATCAATCCATCTCCTTCAACATTAAGATCCTGGAAACCCATTCACCTGCTCATTGACCAGCAAGGAAACTAGTCAAAAGGACTGTATGGATGATCTTCTTGTCAAGAAGTTGCAATGCAATGATTATCTTCCCAGACAATAAATTATAAAAGAGATAACTGAATACCTCTATATTTGAAAACTGATTGATAGCAAGAAAATATCACCAACATTTAAAGAACAGCAAGACTCCCTGCCTTTTTTTTTCTCTAAAAGCTATTTTGGGCCATTAAAGCCCTTTGCTTCAACATATTCAGAGAAGTGTAGCTCATCACTACTCTTAATCTTCAGTTCCCACTATCAAAATATTCCTAATGGAAAGAGGTTTCTTCTAATACTCAACTGGAACCTGAAGACTATTATTACATGTCCTCTATTAATTATCTCACTCAAATTATTCAATATGGTTGAATAAGTGAGGCTTGCCCCTTCCCAGCTGTCATTTAGGAAGTCCCTCAAGACATGGTTATGTCATCAGGCCTGCGGGTCTTTGGGAACCGGACACATTCTTAGATGGCACTATGATCAATATTCTCTCTCTCCGTGGGTTGGAGTTTGTATATTTTAAAATTTTAAAACTTTTTGATGATGTTGTATTTTAATAATAATTTTTTATCTTTTATAATGATTGTTTTTATTTGTTATTTTATTTAGTTGTTGTACACCGCCCAGAGTTGCTTTGTGTGAGATGGGCAGCTATATAAATGTGATATATAAACAAACAAACAAACAAACAAATGAAATATCAGAAAGCCATGGCAGATCTTTTGTTTCATTGACACAACTTTCTGATTCTATCTTTATGTACACATCTTTGTATTACTCATCATTCTCTATAGAAACCAATTTCTGGATCAATGACAGTTAAATATCATTTGAATTATTATGTTTCTATAACTTTATATTCAGTATATTAGCATTACATTATACTTTGTTTAATGGACTATAGGCTTATAGATTCTAGAGAGGAAGATCAATGACATATTTCCACAGAAAGGAGAAAATGACTGATCATTAAAAGTTACATAGTATTCTCTAAAGGGCAGAAATATTTCTATTCTGATTTCATGCCAAACTCAAGAAAAAGGTAGTCCTCACTTACCAATCACTAATTCGGTGACCATTCAAAGTTATGACAGTGCTGAAAAAGGAAACTTATGACTGGTTCTCAAAGTTGCGGCTGTCCCAGCATCCCCATGGTCATATGATCGCAATTTGGGCGCTTGGCAACCGGCATGCATTTATGACAGATGCAGT